AAAAAAAATCTATACTTCAAATTGAAGAAGTTATTGATCGTAGATCAATTTGTGTTTGATGATGGTTGTAAATTAATTGATGTTTTAAGTTCCACTGTATTAAATGGGATTCGATGTGAAAATGTGTGAGAATATAAAATTCGGTCGTAAAAAATAGGCGCGGCGCCCGGGATTCGAACCCGGGGCCGCTGTTACTCCGGTCAAGCGCGCTACCGTAGAGCCACCGCCAACTGATAAGAAATGGTTGCTATACTACGTATATACACTCGAGCGCTCAAAGCAAGACTTTCCGGAATTTTTTTGGGGGGTTTCTAGGGGGCGTTGGAAAAAACAAAAAAATACGGGTCAAATGAATTCATCCAAAGAGTTCGTATGAATTTTTTCAGCCCGATCGGAGGCGGCAGCTTGGGAAGTTCCCCTTGTGAGTTATAATGCAATGCATTCTTGGCATTCAATGTACTTATATACCTACATGGTTAACCATCGGGTGGATTATCTTGGAAAAATTGTTTAAGTCTCTAGATTGATCATTAAGAATTGTTTGAATCATGTGCAAAAATTTGTAATAGAGCTGAAAGTACCGTTTCCAATTTGACATCGATATCGATATGAAATCGGAAAACAGTACCTTTAACTTAATTTAAAGATTTAACAAATTATTTAGAGGATATAGAATGCCATTTTTCCAAAATAATCCTAAACATAAAAATATGTATCTATAAAGGTCCTATCAGAATGCAGTGCGCCACATCTAAAACTACACCTTTATTACTATTCCCGAGGAAAATCGGTCATTCTCATGAAATCCGCGATTGATGCGAACTATCAATTTTTTAATAATGCAATTTTCTGGGGTCCAATGTCACCACATGATCCTCAAAACCTAGTTTCTGTAGAAAAATTTTATCTTCTAAAAATTTAGTCCGGTAACATTTGGCGCTAACACCAATAGTTTTGGCGCAAAATAGAAATTTAGGAAGAATAACGTGCAAATTTTGGGAATTTTTTCGGTTTTTCGGGCATTTTGGGGTGAAATTTTTGCGAACTTTTGGCGACCTTTTGATGTTCGGATTCTACTGCTTTTTCTGCGTTTTTTGATGTAAAAAAACCTTTTCTTGCAATTTTGTCTAGGTTACCCCCTTTTTTTCCGAATCTCGTCTCGACTATATTCCGAGACATCTCGTTTATGTCGAATTCCTGGATAGATTTTTTCGACCGC